TTCTGGGCTTCAGTCCCGGCTCCGCTTTTCACTCCGTGACATCATGCAGGTGCGACGAATCCGTTCCGGGTCATCCAAGGACATTTTGACCTTTTCCGAGGAGTGTGAAGCGGAGGCGGGCACCACGATTTAGCTCTCATGTCGGTCCTCTCGGGACAGGGGGGGGGGGGGGTCCCGCAGTTTTGTCAAAACGAGAGACGCTGTGCGAGTGTCACCAACCAGTGGCCGGGGTGGGGCGGACGGGGAGGAAGGAGCGGACGTATACGGGATGCGGAAGTGACGTCAGAAGAGAGCGCCGCGGAGTGCCCGGAGTCCGAAACGAGGCGCATCGGTGAGGAGCTATGGCTCCTCGGCGCCTCCTATTGGTTGGAGAAGGAAATTTCTCCTTCGCGGCTGCTCTGAGCGAGACTCTGGATCCGAACTCTAGACTTATAGCCACCTGCCTCCAGCAACCGGTCGACTTTGCTCACGATCCGGGAACCCGGAAGAATCTACTGCGCCTGCGCGAGCGAGGTGACGGGACTGGCTCCTCCCCCAGGCTCCGCCCAGCTTCTGGCGCCGTTCCCCTCCCTCCCTCTCCCCCTCCCCCCTCCCCTCCCCCCTCCCCCCTCCCTCCTCCCTCCACCCCCCCTCCCGTGGAAAGCTGTTGGAACAATGGGATGGGAGGCAGTGTGCGGGTTGCCCTTGATCATAATAGGAAATCCACAGGGATTTGTAAATTTCTATGAGTTACTATGTGCCCAGACTGGTGTGCAAGGTTCTCCTTGGAAGTTGGTTCCCCCGCCCCACCACCCTGATTTCAGATCTTAAGACATCCTTTTGTGTGTTTTTCTCACCCTCAAACTATCTTTGCCAGGTACCGAGGTGCGATTCGGTGTGGACTGCACCCAACTGGCAAATGCCTTTGAACCACAGGACAGGGACTTTGACCGAATTTATTTTAATTTTCCGCACTGTGGACGCAAAGCTGGAGTAGCTAAGAACAGGCATCTGCTTGCCAAGTTTTTCCAGAGGTGAGGGAAGGGGAGACGAGTAAAAGTTGAAGATGTACATAGTTACCACATGCAACCATGTAATAAAGCACACTTAGTGTGAATTAGTATATTTGGAGAGACTATAAAACCCCAAAGGAACTAACTTCTGGGAGTATAAAGGGTTGCTTATTTTATTAACACAAACTAGTAACAGTCAGTACAGTCAGAAGGTCAATAGCACAGAATTAGGATCCAGATTGTCAGGATTCAAATCCTGCCCATAGCTTAGTTGTTACAACTTTAAGCAAGCTTAATTAATCCTTAAGTATTTGTCTTCTCATCTGAGATACAGTATGAACAGTAACTGCTCCATAAAATGATGCTCACATAAAACAGTGCTATATGCTGTTATGCCAAAATAGGTGATTCTGTTGGAGGTCTACATTGGGTGTCATAGTTGTTAAACCTTTCAAAGAGGCATGTTTTAAGCTAGTATATAAAAAATACAGAATTTTGATAGGAAGAAGCTGGGGGTGGGGTGGGAATGAGCCTGTTGCCGGTGACTCATGGCTGTAGTCCTATTAAAAGGCTGCGACCTGGAGGATCCCTATAAGACTCTATCCCCAGTGAACAAGCAAAATGCTGGACTACAAGACAGCAAATACTTATTTTCTTAAATAACTCACTGCAGAGAATTGACCTTTTAGTGACATAAAGAAGAGGGACTAAAGCAAAGCAATGATGAATATTATTGGGTGCATAAGCATACTTTGTATGTTGGAGGTTTCATAGACTTTTGCAAGTATGTTTGGGTTTTAATTATTTCTCAACTGAACTGTGTGTAATGCTACTTCATATGGTAATTTCAACCTGTTCCTGATGAGCCCCTGGGGTTTTCCACTCTATTAGCTGTGCAGATGTTCTTGCAGAGGAAGGAGAGGTACATGTGGCATTGTGTAAAGGACAAGGTGGAACCCCGGCTGATAAGCCCCAGAGAGAATGGCACAACAGTTGGCAAGTGGTTGCCATGGCAGCTCTGGGGGGGCTTGTTTTAAGTGATGTGCATCCCTTCAGCTGTGAGACTGTGCCAGGGTACAAGTGCACTGGATATAGGTAGGTAGCCTTTTCCTTTGTCATCTCTCTCACTAGTGATAAAAAAATAATTTTTTTCCTAACAATTTTCTGATTCCATACAGATATACTTTTTAAAAAAAAATAATGACAGACTTCCTCCCTGCTGCATCTTTCTTTTTTTGCCAGGAGTCAAGATAAGTCCTTTCATGTAGAAGGTGCTTTGAATCATATCTTCACCCGGAGTTTACCCTTTGAAGTTTCTCAATCCAGAATCTTCAGGTTCAAACTGGGAGACCAGTGGTTTTCCTTTCTAGAACCAGAAGCACTTGCAGGAAAGCTGAACAGGTAACCTACTATTTTTGCTGAAAATCACTTCTATCTCTAGTTGAATTGTGATTATCTTGATGAAAATCATAATTTGAATGCATAGTACATAAATTATCAATGATGTTGGTGCTATGAATACTTGTCAGTCTGGCTTATTGTTAGATTTGTAGCTACCAAAGCATAGGAATACATATTATTTCTCCTGGGCCCTGGGTATAGCTGGGTAGTAGAGCTCTTGCTTATCTACTATGCCCTGGACTTGACCTCCAGCATTACTGTTTTTTTTTGTTTGTTTGTTTTTTGCAGAGGGGCTATATTTCTTCTTATGGTAGGTGGCTTTTTGTTTGTTTCTTTTTAAGGATCAATTTAAGGGTAATTGCTCGCCACATAACCATTTGTTTTTAATTCTAGCTACATTATACTATTTTAAGTGAGAATATTTTCTATGTCTTTGAACAGGAATTTCCTGGAAGCATCTTCATGTCATCCTACTAGAACTATAAATGAAAAAATCATTGCTGAATTGGGCACAGCCTTCTCTGTAAAAAGGTTGAAGTGTTCCTTCCCTTTATTGCCACAGAGCGACACCAGCGTTCTCCCTTCTGAGATCTATGACCTTCCATCTGTCTTTTGGATTAGTCTCTGTGAAGATAATTCAAATGATGACTCCCTGACTGGTGAAACAGTACAAACAATGGAGGACCTTCTAGTTACATTTTCAGAACTTAGCTTTCCTAGGAGTCCTAGGAGAGATGGTAAGGAAGAAGCTCATGGAGGAACCTATGAGCAAGTCAAGCTGTGCCTTAGGTCTTCTCTTCTAGTTTATGCTCAAGCTGTCATCCAAGCACCAGACTTCCTTTCAGGTTCTCTGCACATCCTCAGCGGACCAGTGTTTCGGAAGTGCCACATTTTGCCTTTTACAATGCCAGCGTTTCATGAAACTTTATTTATACTTGGGCTTAATAAAAATCTGAAGGATAGCTGTCTTTCATTACTTCTGGATCTCCTGAAGAGCATTCTGGATAGACTTCTAACTCAGACATTGCTAGAGGGCTCTAAGCTGAGCAGATCAGTGGAATTTGTCCTCCAACCAAATGGAAAAGATTGTTTGATTCATGTGAAGTCTCATAATTTTGGCCAGGACTATGACAAGGATTTGATTATTGGGTCTGTCACCATAATATCTGCAATGAGCATTACACATGAAGAAGATCAATGCTTTGTGTTGGTATCTATAAACTTGGACTTATTAACCATGCTTGTTTGGGGTATCTCTGATTGGAGAATATTGTGGACCTTTGATAACCGTTTCCTGAAAAGTTTTGTTCCAGGGAAAATAGAACCCTTTAAAAGTTATTCCTTATATCCTCCATGCTATGTGCATGATATTAGTTTTTGGTTAAATGAAGAGCAAGGATTTGATGAACTGGAGTTTCACACTGTGGCCCGAGCAGTGTCCCAGGACACTATTGTATCCATACAATTCCTTGGTCGTTTTCAGCATCCAGAGACTGAGCAGGTTAGTCTCTGCTATAGATTGACCTACCAGGCCTGTGATAAGGCCCTCACTAAGCAGCAGGTGGCATCAATGCAGTTCCAACTTAGAAAAGAGATTCAACAATTACATGTTACACTTCGATAGGTTCATCAGTCCTTCACTGGGGATAGATGAAAAAGAACAACTTGCAACTAGTAATCCTTTCTGGAATCTTTTTAATATTATTTTTGTAATAAAACCTTTTTCTTTGTGACTGTAGCATTGTTGATTGACTTTAAATATACCCATGACTCTTATAAACTGTAAGAGGTGATTTTGTACAACTGAACCTTTGGAGTTGCACAGAATTTTGATTCTGAGTAATGACCAAAACACAAACAAAACTGTTTTGTATTTTAGTTGCCCAGTTTCTGACGAGGCAATAAAACTTGAATAAATCATTAATTACATTCATTTTCCATATTGTCAGTTTCTTCACCTTGACCTGTCATCTCAAAACCAATTTATGACAGTGTGTTTTGGAATTAGAACACTTTTTGCCTTGGTAAGTTGCAGGTGCTCCATGGTTGGTATTATCCTGGCATATGTTCTCTGTGATTGAGCTTTAGTAAAGTCACGGAACTAATCATACCTGATTTAAGGTTATTTACTTCTGCTTCCAGTCTTTAGCAGGCAATGAATAAATGAGCTACATACAAGCTGGATGCTTGAATTTGGTAACTAATGGCTGCAAGTGGGAACTGAGCAGTATGATCGATGTCCATTTTAATATTTTGGAAGGTTTAATCCGAAATTATAATCTGGAGTCCTTCCTGTCAAGTTCAGTGCTCCTTTCATAGTTTGTTACCGTACCGAGCTCCACTAGGAAGGACAGACTCAAGATTAGAAGAATGAATAGCTTCTATTCACTTAGTCACTTTCTATTATGTGTGCCTTGATTTAAATAGAGGACTGGAGTCAGGATTGTAGTCAAGTGAGTAAGAAACGCGAAGGAAGAGCATTAACTGGAGAAATAGCCCGGGGCTCTGCGTCGGCGCCTTCGGGCCTCCGGGACGCGAATCGCGCCGGTTCTGCGCATGTCGGAGGATTTTTGTCCCTCGGCGGACTCCGTTTCCCGGCTAGCGATGTCTGCGCCTCCGCCGGCTTCCTAGAGCGCCGGGCTCCACCTTCTGCCCCTCACGCTGCCATGGCGAGCCGAGGGGCTCGGCAGCGTTTGAAAGGCGGCGGGGACCCGGCTCCCGCCACCAAGAAGCTACGGAAGCAGCCGGCCAGCCGGGAGGCGGGCGGCGCGGAGCCCCGGCCCGAGTACGCGTGCGGGGCGGGCGCGGCGGGGGCGTGGCCGGCGGGGGCGCGGGGGCGCGGGGAGCTCGGGGCGGCGCGGGGCGCGCAGTGCGGGGCGCGGGGCTTCCGTCCGGGTCCCCTCGGCTGCCCTCGCCCCTCCGCACCCCCCAGCCCGGACCCCGGCACCTTCCCGCCCGCACCCGCAGCCCCTCGCCCCGCGGCCCGGGCCTGCGGGCTGCGTCCGCGCGCGGTGGGAGGAGGTCGTGCCCCTCGCGCGGCCGGAGCCTCTGGCGTCAGAGCCGAGGGGACGCGGGTGAAGCCTCGGGAAGGCCCCGGGGAGGAGGGCCTGGGGCCTCCGGCGAGGGGCCGCCGGCTTGCGGTGAACGGAGTGTTGTGGAGGCCACGAGCCAAATCCGTGTATGACTGAAAAGCAGGGCGTCCTCATTCCACACCCATTCCACCGAGGAACACGCTTTCTGCAGCTAATATGAGACAATAAATAACGAGACAGCACACACGGTTCTACCTTTTTTTTTTTAAATTTTATTGTGAAAATACCATACAGAGGGGCTACAATTACATGGGCAAGATAGTGAATCCATTCCTAATCAAGCATTGTGGCCTCCTCCTTTGTTTCCCCTTCCCATCCCTCTCCGCCCCCACCCCTCTTCTACCTTTTTGAGGATGACTTCAGTGTCTTGATGTGGTATGGAGGCTTTGTCTTCTTTGGCTTTCTTTCCGGGCAGGTTATCTGGGAACAAAGCCAGCCAAGTCTGGGCACCTGACGGGTCTACCGCTTTCAAGTGTCTTCTCTCAGCAAGGTTGTGCGCTGCTCTGCTGAGCAACATCTCTGACTGTGATGAAACATTCAACTATTGGGAACCAGTAGGTGATTTCTTTTTCTTTTGCGCTGATGAGGAATTAAACTCATGCCCTTGCCTATGCAAACAAAGCAAGTGCTTCACCCTTAAGCTACGTCTCCAGAATCATTTTGGTTTTGGTTTTGGTTTTTGACTTTCCTACCTAGGAATCAATTTAACTAGTAGGAAAATAATTTTACTCTTGTATAATTAAAGCTGTTGATTACCTATTAATGGTAGGTTGTATGTAATTGAAGGTTGCATGAAATCAAAGGTGTTATTTGTAATTTTAACTTTTTTTTTTAAATTTTTTTTGTGAACATACTGTACAGAGGGGTTACAATTACATGGGCAGGATAATGCGTACATTTCTTATCAAGCATTGCAGCCTCCTCCTTTGTTGTAATTTTAACGTTTTTAAAAACAATTTTTTGGAGTTTTTTTTTTTGGCCAGTCCTGGAGCTTGAACTCAGGGCCTGGGCATTGTCCCTGAGCTTCTTTTGCTCAATGCTACCATTTGAACCACAGCACCTTCTGGCTTTTTCTGTTTATGAGGTATTGAGGAATGGAACCCAAGGCTTCATGCATGCTAGACAAGCACTCTATACCACTAAACACATTCCCAGCCTGGACATAGTTCTTAAAGTTAACACCACAAAACTTGGAGGAAAATTGTTCTGAGTTCTCCTCAGGTTCAAACCCCATTTTCTATAAGGGATCACTTCTAGCTTTTTTAGTTTATTCCTTCTGATGTTTACCACAACAATGTTACTCAATAGAATGCTAATAATTCCATTTCTTAATTTATACGTTAAGAATAATGTTGACTTCCTATTAAAGAAAATTGAAAAGAACAGTTTTCACATTTTATATCAAAAGGAGAATAGATACTTGGCATGAGTAGTTTAAGGAAGATACAAGATTTTGATTTTCCTGTTTTGGCTATTTAAAAAATTAAGTGACTAAAACTTAAGGTTTTCGTGTTCACCAAAGAGCAGTTTTATAGAACTTATATGTTAAAATTGTTAATATTGGGTCATTTTGTTTTCTTATCCATTACATTCAGATGTTGAGAACTTAGTATTTTTATGTACTTATGTCTTTACCACAAACATCACCTGTTTCCTCTTAATTAGACTTTGAAGAATTTATTGTAAGGCTGATTGCTTCTGTTTTTTCTTTTAGACACACTACCTCATCTATGGGAAAGGGTTTCAGACTTGGGAATATTCCCCGGTGTATGCCATTCGCTCCTATGCCTATCTGTTGCTTCATGCCTGGCCAGCTGCATTTCATGCAAGAATTCTACAGACTAATAAGGTGAGGGAGGGGACCTGAAAGCAATCACAGCTAATCAAGAGGTGTTGCCTGGAACAGCGGAGAATGGGACAAAAAAAAAAAAATTGTAATGAAGAAAGCACTTTTTTTTTTTGGTCCGGTCATGGGCCCTGAACTCTGGGCCTGGGCACTGTCCCTCAGCTCTTCAGCTCAAGGCTAGCGCTCTACCACTTGAGCCACAGCGCCACTTCTGGCTTTTTTCGTTTTGCTTATGTGGTGCTGAGGAATCGAACCCAGGGCCTCGAGCATGCAAGGCAAGCGCTCTACCACTGAGCCACCTTCCCAGCCCCAGAAAGCACTTTTTTTGTTTTTCTTTTTTTTAGGTGAAGTCTTGCTGTGTTGCTCAGACTTGTCTTGAACTGCTGGGGCTCAAGTTATAATTGATCCTCCTGCTGTGTATTTGGGCTTATAGGCCTGAGACACCATGCTCATCTAAGAGGATTTTTTTTTAAAAGAAAAATCTATATTCATTATTTATCAAAGTGCTTTGACTATAACAATGATGAAGTCCCTGCTTTCTGAGAACATACGGTTTAGGGGACCACATACATATTGAAAAAGTAATTCTAAATGCAGAGGGTAATGTGCATGGATTAGGAAGGTCTCATTTGAGTGCCGAGTAGTAATTAAGTGATAACTGGTACTTAACTTAGTTTTTAGAATTTTTGACTAGTCTGTCTTGGTGTGGATTATTTTGGAGTTTATTTTGCTTCTTGGTTCTTTTTTTATTTTGTTTGTTTTTTTGGGTCTGGTCGTGGGGCAAACTCGGCCTGGGCGCTGTCCCTCAGCTCTTCAGCTCAAGGCTAGCACTCTACCACTTGAGCCACAGCGCCACTTCTGGCTTTTTTCTTTTTGCTTATGTGGTGCTGAGGAATCGAACCCAGGGTCTCAGGCATGCAAGGCAAGCGCTCTACCACTGAGCCACCTTCCCAGCCCTGCTTCTTGATTCTTTAGATTCATGCTTTTTGCCAAATATGTAAAATTTTAGATTTTTTTTTTAGTATTTTATTATCCATACTCATTTGCTTCTTCCCTACTAAGACTCTTAATACATGAATATTAGGGTTTGGTTGGAGGGTTTTTTTATTTGTTTGTTTTTGGTTTTTTGTCAGTCATAGGGCTTGAACTCTGGGCCTGGGTGCTGTCCCTCAACTCTTCAGCTCAAGGCTAGTGCTCTACCACTTGAGCCACAGCGCCACTTCTGGCTTTTTCTGTTTATGTGGTTCTGAGGAATAAAACCCAGGGCCTCATGCATGCAAGGCAAGCGCTGTAACACTGAGCCACCTTCCCAGCTCTGAATGTTAGATTTCTGTAATTATTTAATCTCACAAAGTCTCTGGGACCCTGTGTATTTATTTTTTATTTCAATCTGCTTTTTTTCCCATTATTCACTCTGAGTAATTTTTTTCTTCCTTTTTTTGGCAATACTGGAGTTTAAGCTCAGAACCTTATCTTTGCTAGGCAAGCACTCTACCACTTCAGCTATATCCCCAGTTGTATTTTGGTCTTAATACTGAATATCTCATTAAAATCCCTAATTAGTGTCAGTGGCTGATCAGCTGAATCTCCTGGGTTCTTGTCAGCTGCGTATACGTCTTATTCCATTTTTTGCAAAATACCTGAAGTTTGCTAGTTACGAAGAAAAAGAGGGCTTATCTGGCTCATGATTCTGGTGGCTGGAGGGTCCAACAGCGTGACACCAGTGTCCTGGCAAGGATTCCCTGTCTGTCACATGACAGAAAAGCCAACAGGAGCTGGCCACATGCAGAAGGGGCATGTGTGTACTCAAGAAAACAGTGTACTTAGCATAACCCTCTAAAGGTAGCGAATCCAGTCCTATGAAAGCATTAATCACTTCATGAGAGTGGAACCCCTATAACCTTATTACCCTTTACTAGGTCTTACATTTTATAAGTGAACCATCTTAATATCACCACTTTGGTGACTGGGATTCTAGCACATGAACCACTGGGACACAACCCATACCCAAACCACAATAGTACACTAAGTTTCATTTCCTTTATTCTGTTCCTCATACCTCATTCTTTTTCATGCCTTTTGTACCACCCAGCACTTCCAGTTACTAAGTTAGATATTAGAGATGGGGGTATTGTTGTCTTGCCAGATGTAGTTCTTTTAGTTAATTCATGTAAAATTTTAACTTTGTGTTGGTTCTCTTTCCCATTACATGAGTAATCTTTAAACAGACACTGCACCAATCACATCTGTAATAGTGCTCATATAGTAAGTTTTCAGTATGTTTCACTGAATTAATTAATGAAACTAGTAATTATCTCCATCACTTCATTGAACTCATTCTTGGAATTTTGTTGGTTATAGTAATGGACAGAAGTTTTATATTCTTGTGTAGGGCATATTTTCTGAGGAATTCAATACCCTTGTTTGTGGGATGGAGACAATATTGGGGTTGAACATTTGGCTTAGTGCCTGCTAGACAGGTATTCTACCATCCAGCCCTCAGTGCTTCTAAACATTTTATAGCAAAAACAATTTGATATACCCATATTGTGTTATTTTTAATCTGATACTTTTAATTAGAAAATAAATAAAAATCACATTACAGTAGTTTGGAAGATTGGAGGAAAATTATGTAAATTTGAAATAGGCTGCCATAATGCCATTCTACTCTGTTCTTTCCAGTTTTGTCATACATACAGAGATTTCATAAGGACCTCATTTTATCTTAATCCTGTATGATGCATTTTGCTTAGTATTCTGTAAATAAGTGGTACTTAAAACATTGTGACTACTTATTCTTAAGTGGTTGGTGAATGAATGAGCATTATATTGAAAGAAGTTTCCTACTATATTCATAACAATAAATTTTAATGCCTGTGTAATAGCCTGTGAAATGTAGTATAACTTAATCCTACTCCTGTAATTGGATATTTTGTAGTTTTAACTAAAATATTAGTGCTGCGATTGACATTTTCAACGCAGGGAATGAAGTTCCTTATCACTGCTAGAGTGATGCTGGTGGAGGTATGGAGTCTAGTGACATGAAAAATGTGTGTGGACGCCCGGCACCGGTGGCTCATGCCTGTAATCCTAGCTACTCAGGAGGTTTAAAGCCAGCTCAGGCAGGAAAGTCTGTGAGACTCTTATCTCCAGTAAACCACTAGAAAACCAGATTGGGCTGAAGAGTAGAGGGACAGCGCCCAAGTCCAGAGTTCAAGCCCCACAGCCAAAAAAAAGAAAAATGTTTTGGTTTCTCTCTGTGACTTCTGTTCTCTTGTTCTGGGTTTTTTTCAGATTCTTGTGTTTTACTTTTTGCGATGTCTTCTGGCTTTTGTGAGCTGTATTTGTGAGCTTTACTTTTACAAGTGAGTAGAAAAGCTTTGCTTCTAAAAGTTCTAGGAGATAGCCTAATATATCAGCCCTCTGATAGTCTAAGCAGTGATCCAAAATAGAAAACACTTCTAGCTCCTGAAATATGAAGTCTTGTTGAAAAAACAAGAAAAATACTTCTGATTTTATCATTAATACTGTGCCACTAAATACCATGCCATTAATTTTAGTTCTGTGAATACATATGTAGTTAGTCTTACTGGGATTTAGTAGGACCAAATTTGGTCCTAAAATGCAGGGTAATGACTTATCTTTCTCCTTGAGCCTGGCTGATGGACAACTATTCGTAACGTGAAAGCCTGCTCTGATTTGTACCCAGTACTTTTTACACAACATAGCTATCAGTTGATTGAATATTGATGGAACTATTATTTATTTAAGTGTTTCAGTAGTAAAAATAGCCACCCTTTTTTAACACTTTATTTTAATAGAACCTCACTTCATTAAAAAGTGCTTGGGCTTAATGGTCATTATTAAAGATTTTCCCCCAACTCATTATATCAGATAAAAAAAAAGTGTTTGGCATGTGTGAAAAAACAAAGCCACTATTGCCTTTGAGGATTACAATGACAAGTTGGTCTTTTTAGGGATTTGGACTTGAATTCAAATCATCTCCTTTTCCATTATGCCCCAAGTTTAAGATTTACTCCAAATTGCTCTGGACATCTTGTGAAAATTTCTTTAATGAACTAGACTTTTATCCCAGAAGTCAAAAAGCTATGAGAAATAAAGTTGTAAGAAGAAATTATGGTAGAAATAAATCATAAAACAGGGAAGTCACAAGAAAGGATCAGGAAAACCAGAAATAAAAATCAATAGAAAGTTAATCATTTATCAAGTGTTGTTAAAGTAAGAATATACGATAAGTACATTCAGTGTTTTAAAGAAGAGAAAGAAGGAACTGAAAATGTGAACAAGAAACAGACTACAAAATTATGCAAATTCAAAAAATCAGAACTTCTAGAAATGAAAATATATTATTGAGTACAAAATATGTAATATGTACTTAATATTGACATTTTAAATTCTTCAGCCAGATAATTTAAACAGACTAGATACCACTAACAAGTACATAAGTAAAATGGAAGATTGATTTGAAGAAATTACTAAGAATATAGTATAAAGAGGTTAAGAGCCAGGCACCAGTGTAGTCCTTGCTACACAGACATTTCAAATTAAGAAAAACATGCTTGCATCAGAAGTATCACCAAAGATCTGAAAGTCAAATACAGAACTATTTTGACAGGTTTGTTAGCGATTTGATGTGTATTAAAAACTGAGACACAGGAAAGAAGCTCCCTATCTACAAGGAGAGAATATATACTTACGTCTACTATCAATGTGCTAAAAACTGATTTGATTTGAAATGTCCAAAATGTGTTATAAAAAATTAGTTTTTGCCTTTCTTCTAGGGCTGTGTGCAAGAAGTTTGGGCTGCATGTGAGTCGAATGATGCTGGCCTTCTTGGTGCTCAGCACTGGCATGTTTTGTTCATCGTCTGGTAGGTAAAAGGCGAGAGGGCTCACCGTGGCTCACCAATGTCTTGAAGGAAGTACTTGTCCAAACATAGTTTATATTTAACATGTCAAAGATTTCTACTTTAAGCAGGGTGCTGGCTCACATCTGTAATCCTAGTAAGGAGACTGAGCTCTGAGGAGAGAGAGAGAGAAAGAGAAAGAGAGAGAGAGTGTGTGTGTATGTGTGTGTGTGTACAGAGACCACAGGTTCCACCATAGAAAAACTTGACATAACTCTACTTTACTGGCAGAGCTGACAGAGACCTCTGCTGTTTTTGACTTGGCTGTTGGGATCATCAGCTTTTGATGGCAGCAAGATTATTTAGCATTGATCTGTGAGAGTTGTACCTTATGTTTTTTCTTTTTTCTTTTCTTTCTTTTTTTTTCATTTACTTTGCTACTCCTAGAATTGATTTTTCTTTTTTTTTTTTTTACAGTCGTGGGGCTCAAACTCTGGGCCTGAGCACTGTCCCTCAGCTCTTCAGCTCAAAGCGAATGCTCTACACTTGAGCCCCAGTGCCACTTCCGGTTTTCTGGTGGTTTATTGGAGATTCTTATCTCATGGACTTTCCTGCCCAGGCTGGTTTTGAACTGTGATCCTCAGATCTCAGCCTCCTGAGTAGCTAGGATTACAGCCATGAGCCACTGGCACCTGGCTTAGCATTGATTTTTATATGGAAGTTTCCTGGAAGTATCTAGTTTTGTGATGTTAGTTGAGGCGCAGAGATACAGACCCTCTGAGTAGAGCCTGCTGAGTCTTTACATCTTACTCTATTTGTTGTTCTTGTTGGAGTCTAAGGAATTTTAGAGTAATGAGGACTTAAGAAGCAGGAGGGGAAGATGTACATTTTTGTTCCATGTTGTGAAATACTTTATTGCTATTACAGAGGCCTTGACTATGCCTAGTTTCTCTGGTGTATATCATGACAAGATTGTGGTAGAGGTAGATGGAGAAGAGCTGAGGACCACTCTATCTGTGTTGGTGGATGCAGGATGCAAGGCAGTGTTGCCTCCTACCTGGCCCTTCAGAAACCTTCCCAGATCGCTGTATGGTACATAGTAGGACCAAACACTTTAAGAATGCCAGGAGATACGTTTCAGAAATAAATTGTCAGCAATGACTTAAATCTTTAGAAGTATATTCCCTGCTTGGAAATATAACTCAAGGTCTCCCTGGAGAAACTGGACTTTGGTAAATTTGGATTTGAGATACAGTCGGAAGAGAAAAAGTATGGGTAATACTGTATAACTGTGAACCATGTGTTGGTGCCCAAAATATAGGAGTGATAAAGTAACATAGTTTAACTTACTTATTTTTTTGTTGTTGTTTTTTTGTTTTTGTTTGGTTGTTTGTTTGGTTGGTTACGGGGCTTGAACTCAAGGCCTGAGTGCTGTCCCTGAGCTTTTTTGCTTAAGGCTAATGCTCTACCATTTTGAGCCACAGTGCCACTTCTGGTTTTCTGGTGGATAGGAGTCTTACAGGCTTTCCTGCCTGGGCTGGCTTCACACTGCAATTTTCAGATCTCAGCCTCCTGAGTAGCTAGGATTACCTTTGTGAGCCACCAATGCCTGTTTGTTTGTTTTTTTAGATTACTCCTTTACTATTTCTAGTAGCATTGCTCAGAGTATAATCTTGGTTATTGGCATTTCAAAATATAGGTAGGTTGGTAATTATTGATATTGAATCTTAGACTTTTATTCCTTCTTCCTTTCATTTCTTTCCTCTTGCAGCATTCCTTCCCAGTAGCTTCTGTATGTACACTACATTGATAGCCATGACTGGATGGTACATGGACAAGACTCCCATTGCTGTGCTGGGAGTAGCAGCTGGGACTATTGTAGGCTGGCCATTCAGTGCTGCACTTGGGTAAGAACTTACCATAGTGTCCCATATATCACTGGACGTAATGGCAAATCCAAATTTTGGATTAGCTCCAAGTTGTGTAGGTAGCACCTAAAGTTAAATGAATTAGTTTGACAAAAATACTGAGAAGTAAAAGCATATTTCTTCATTTTTTTTAAAGCTCCTTTCTGCCTTCCTTCCTTCCCCCCCCTTTCTTTCTTTCTTTTTCTTTTTCTTTCTCTTTTTGCCAGTCCTGGGGTTTGAACTCAGGGCCTGGGCTCTGTCCCTAAGCTTCTTTTGTTTAAGACTAGCAATTCTATCACTTGAGCCACAGCACCACTTCCAGCTTTTTTCTGTTTATGTGGTACAGAGGAATCTAACTCGGGGCTTCATGCATGCTAGGCAAGCATTCTACCACTAAGCCACATTCCCTTTCCTTTTCCCTTTCCCTTCTTTTCTTTTTCTTTTTTTCTTTTTTTGGGGGGTGGGCGGTCAGTTGTTGGGCTTGAACTCTGGTCCTGGGTGCTGTCCCTCAGCTCAAGGTTAGCACTGTACCACATGAATCATAGCACCACTTCCAGCTTTTTCTGCTTATTGGTGCTGAGGAATTGAACCCAGTGACTCATGCATGCAAGGCCAGCACTCTACCACTGAGCCATCTTCCCAGCCCCCATCTTTTCTTTTTGTACCAAGTCCTGGGGCTTAAACTCAGGGCCTGGGCACTGTCCCTGAGCTTTTGTGCTCAAGGCTAACACTCTACCTCTTGAGCCACAGCACTACTTCTGACTTTTTTTGGTAGTTAACTGGAGATAAAAGTCTCATGGCCTTTCCTGCTTGGGCTGGTTTTGGACCTTTGTCCTCAAATCTCAGCTTCCTGAGTATCTAGGATTTTAGGCATGAGCCACTGGTGCCTGGCAAAGCATATTAAAATACTTGTTATTAGGATTATCCTAATTTAAATGGTAACTATTAAATATCTACCTGTTAGATTTATAAATATTCTTTAATCATAGAAAACTCTGAGAATTACAATCATTAGTGCTTTAAGAAGATCCCAAGGGTTTGAGTAATTTGTGTTGAGATTATGCTTCTCTTGTATCAAGGCCTTTTTGACTACAGCTGATTTTCTCACTTTCTACCTTGTGCTGTGCATTTTTCTGCTACTCAGGCTAAAGATCTGTTTCCTTCTTTTTTGCTCTAGTATCTTGTACACCATGTTCAAGGGAATCTCTGGTTTCTTTTAACTGATATATTTGAAATGTCCATTACACAGTAGCTCACTGTTTCCTGAGTGTCTGTGGCATGCTTAGCTCTAATGGGTCCAATGAAGAGAAGATGTACTTTCACATACCAGCTTTCTTCCTTTTCTGTCACTGGTAGAGATATTTTATTCTCAGTTCAGCATAGGTGTGTGTGCGTGTGAATGAGATCGAGCTATAAATATTTTACTTACCTCCCCACTTCCATTTTTTCTGTTAAATAGTTTGCCAATTGCCTTCGATTTGCTGGTCATGAAACACAGGTGGAAGAGTTTCCTTCGTTGGTCACTAGTGGCCCTAATTCTCTTCCTGGTGAGTTTTCTTTTTTGTTTTATTCTCATGTTATGATGAAAGCAACTTCTGATGTGGGAAAAGAAAACATTCGGAGTTCATTTTGTTTTACATTCACAGGTTTATCTATTAACATTTTGAGAATAATCCCAGAACAAAATTCTAATTGTTGTGTGTGTGTTGTTGTTTTAGGTGCCTGTGGTGGTCATAGACAGCTGCTATTACGGGAAGTTGGTGATTGCCCCTCTCAACATTGTTTTGTATAATGTCTTCACTTCTCATGGACCTGATCTTTATGGTAAGTTTTTACAAAATCTGGGGAACGGTTAGAAAGTAGCTTAATGTATCAGTGCTTCAACACTTTAATTCAGCTGTCTTATTTCATCAAATACAGTTTGTCTTTGCTAGAAGTCTTCTTACTTAAAAATAGAATGACATTTGAATGGAGCACAGTGATGACAGGTAGCTACTACTACTTCCCTTTGATTATGTGATACTCAGATACTGGCTCTCTATCCTCCTATTGATTATTTCTAGTTTTAGGGTTAGAATTTTGAGGATGGTTGGGTGTACCACAGCTTTTGATGCTTCTCCCCTCCCTCCTAAAAGTTACTTTTTTCTCTTGTTAGAAAATCCAAGTAATAGGACTGGGAATGTGGCTTAGTGGTAGAGCGTTTGCCTAGCATGCATGAAGCCCTGGGTTCCATTCCTCAGTACCACATAAACAGAAAAAGCCAGAAGTGTTGCTGTGGCTCAAGTGGGTAGAGTGCTAGTCTTTAGAAAAAGAAGCTCAGGGACAGAGCCTAGGCCCTGAGTTCATGCCCTAGGATTGACAAAGCAAAGGAAAATCTAGGTAACAAAAAAAAAAAATAATCCAACCTCATCATATTATATAGCTAATTAATATTTGGGAGAATACTCCTTCATATAATTTCTATGCATATACACATTTGATGCCACTTTTCTTCTTTTAAACATGCATATTTAGTATCGGGGATTAGAGGAGAAAGTTTGGAAATCTGCAAGGTGTAGCAAATGAGAATGGAGTCAGTGAAAGAGGGTTGGTGGCTTGGTCAGTTTAGTGTTAAGAGAAAAATTGAATGCCTTTAGTTTGAGGTGAATGCTGTACCCCATCACCACCTTTCTCCCGCGTCCCTTTTGTTTTACTTGATTTCTGAGGACATTAGAATGAACAGTTATAGGGGAATGAGCTAGATATCTTCCCATTAAGTTAGCCAAATCAGTAAATATTTTACAAAGGAGACACTTTTTAACATTAAAATAAATAGCTAGGTGCCAATGGTTCACACCTATAATAAATTGTAGCTACTGAGGAAGCTGAGATCTGAGAATCCTGATTCAAAGCCAGCCTGGGCAGGAAGGTCTATGAGACTCTTATCTCCAGTTAATCACCAGAAAACTGGAAGTGGTGGTGTGGTTCAAAGTCATAGAGTGGTAGCCTTGAGCACAAAAAGGCTCAGGGAAGTGCCAAGGCCCTGAGATCAAGCCCCAGAACCTATAATAATAAATAAATCAAATAAATATAGCTTCTTCTGTTTTAATCTTTTGGGGATCCTTAGAGTTTTCTATATATTTGAATGTCCTGACTCTGCTACAAAGCAGTCGATATTCTCTCTCTTCCTTCCTATAAATTTGTGATGTTGCCAGCCCTTTCCATGTGCCTTGGCCACATTGCTAGTAGATCCAATAGTTTGCCTGAGGAGCTTGAAAGCAAAAATTCTGAATGAGATACTTGAGCTTCCTGAGATTTAGAGAATATTATCTTAGGTGGCAAGTAACAGGCTAAAATAAATAGTGTTGTATTCAGTGAATTGAATTCACAAACCACATAGTTGAAGAGTAATTGTTAAATGAAAGAACTTTAAAAGACTCCTTTTTATTTCCTAGATTCCCAAGGATAGGTGAAAAGCCTCCAGTTCTAAGCTTTTGCCTCTAGATGTCTCTCTTCAGCCAGGAAAAGTTGGCAAATTTAAATTGCCCATTGTTTTCAGTTTACTTGTAAAATTTTATTTGACTTCTGGAGACAATAAAACCAATAAAATATGGGTTGTGTGGTAAATACTGATTTAGATGTATCCCATTCTGTATGGAGGAATAGATTGAGTTTGTGTTAATTCTGAAAAATTGGCTTCTCCATTTTCATAAATAATTTATTAGATGTTGATTGTTGTTGTTGTAGGGCTTGAACTGAGGGCCTGGGTGCTGTCCCTTAGCCTTTTTGCTCAAGGCTAGCACTCTACCACTTTGAGCCACAGTGCCACTTCTAGATTTTTGGTGCTTAACTGGCGATAAGAGTCTTACAGACTTTTCCTGCCTTGACTGGCTTTTTTAAAAAAAAACAAAAAACTTTATTTCATTTTTGTGGACTGGCTTTGAACTTTGATCCTTAGATCTTAGCCTCGTGAGTAACTAGGATTACATGAGCCACCGACGCCTGGCTGATGTTGATATTTTGATTGCTTGTTTATAAAAACATTTTGTGAGGGTTTATAACAGGGCTGTATTTTCTCTGGCCTCTTTAGGTTGGTGAGGCTTTTTAATCTACTGATCAGATAGATGGAGACAGTAGGGAAGGAGGATCAATTTTGGTGTGTTTGTGTTTTTAGTATAATGGTGGTTGGTTAGTTAGGCCTTAGCACAGTCTATGGTCTTTCCATGGACAGCTAGAATGCTATAGTCAGCTGCCTTTAGGGAGCTGCTCCTTGCTAGTAGACATTTTGTGTTTTTACCTTATCTTTGAATCTGATGGTTTCTTTTTCTTCTGATTTTCATTTGTGGAAAGAGTATTAACTTTTTTTGTGTGTGTAGCTTACTTGGAGAATATTGTTTTCATCTTAGAAGTAGAATCCCCTATATATTCTAGGTTTACAGTAAAAAAATTGTTGACAATGTATGAATGAACAAATGAATAAATGGATGAGTGAATTCTTGAGTGCCTTAATTGCAGTTGTGTCCCAGAACCACCTTGGTTAGACATATTGTGGTGCTGGCTTGGGCATTTCTTGATACCAATTAAGATGAACAGATGTAAATATTTTGTGAACATTGCTTCCATTTGGTAAATGGCACGAGTCTTTTATCCTATACGGTTGTCAAATAATGAGACAGTGTGTCTTCTGTCTTAGAAACTCAGCTCTTCCTGCTGCTTAAATGTTTGACACTAGCTTGAATTATACTGGCTATTTTATGAGTTTCTTAGTCTAGATGCCCCATTAAATATGTTAGATACACACTTTATCTGGACGTTAAAAATGTCTTGTACTGACCGTTTCTGTATACATCTTTTGGTGCCATTTCTTTTGTACAAGTACAAGCCTACTTTCTTCATATATAGATAGACTTCAGTTAAAGAATCACTGAAGCTGGATGCTGGAGGCTCATGCCTGTAATCCTGGCTACTCAGGAGGCTGAGATCTGAGGATTGTGGTTCAAAGTCAGCCTGGGCAGGAAAGTCCATGAGACCCTTATCTCCAATAAACCACCAGAAAACTGGAACTAGAGCTGTGGCTTAAATGGTAGTGCTTGGCCTTGAGCTGAAGAGCTGAGGGACAGTACCCAGGCCCAGAGTTCAAGCCCCACAACTGACAAAACTTTTTTTTTTTTTGGGTCCGGTCGTGGGGCCTGAACTCTGGGCCTGGGCGCTGTCCCTCAGCTCTTCAGCTCAAGGCTAGCGCTCTACCACTTGAGCCACAGCGCCACTTCCAGCTTTTTTCTTTTTGCTTATGTGGTGCTGAGGAATCGAACCCAGGGCCTCGAGCATGCAAGGCAAGCGCTCTACCACTGAGCCACCTTCCCAGCCCCAAAGAAAACTTTTTTTAAAGAATAATTGAATAAATTGCCTTTGAGCACTTGCTTCAGGCCCTTAGAAAGCTGCAGAAACACAATAATTAATGGAACAGTATATTAGGTGCTTCAGGATGGTAGGGAGCAAATCCTTCTGCTGGTATTAGGAAAGGTGTAAGGTCTGTGCCCAGGAGGAGGAGTAGGTATTTGCCTAGAAAGTGCTGGAATGGGGTACACTTCAGACGGATTATCATGTGTAAAGACTGCTGAAGAACAAAGATCAAGTAGTGGATTATTCTCTTAAACATTACTTTTACAGGTTTGATTGAATTTTTGGTGGAAACTATTCTAGTATTATGAACATGTCTTCAGTCTCTCCATTACGATTGTTGTATAAATACTTATTTTCTCCATTATTCCTAGTTGAATCAGTTTGTCTACATTTTGGGGACTAGATAACATACCATTTGTGTGTGTGCGTGCGTGTACGTGTGCACACGCCTGTCCTGGGGCTGAACTCAGTCCCTGGTTACTGTTCCTGAGCTTCTCTTGCTCAAGGCCAGCACTCTCCCAGTTGAGCCACAGCTTCACTTTTGGCTTTTTTGATAGTAAATTGGAGATAAAAGCCTCACAGACTTCCTTGCCTTGAGCCTTAGATCTCAACCTCTTGAGTAGCTAGGATTCCAGGTGTGAGCCACTGGTACCTCACTTATTGCTAGCATATCTTAGTGATATTCCCCACGTGAGCTGACTTCTTTCTTTTGAAGTAAAGGAAAAGGAGTGCCTCTTCACAGATATTAGTTACAACTTTCTGTTTTTTGTGTATTTTGTGCCAGAAATTTTTTTTTTTTTTTTTTTTTTTTTTTGTCGGTCGTGGGGCTTGAACTCTGGGCCTGGGCGCTGTCCCTCAGCTCTTCAGCTCAAGGCAAGCGCTCTACCACTTGAGCTACAGCACCACTTCCGGTTTTCTGGTGGTTTATTGGAGATAGGAGTCTCACTGTCTTTCCTGCCCGGGCTGGCTTTGAACCACGATCCTCAGATCTCAGCCTCCTGAGTAGCTAGGATTACAGGCGTGAGCCACCAGCGCCCGGCTTTGTGCCAGAAATTTTATGTACTGTCTACTTTCCCTCCCCCAAATTCTGTGAGATAGGCATTATTTATCCTTCTTGCCCTGTGAGAAAGCTGAGCTGATAGTGAGGAACCCACCATCCAAGGTAAAAATTAAAAAATACTTAAAAAAATAATTACAGGCATGGGAAGAAAGCCCAGAGCTGTCTTACTCCCACGCCTGCAGCTTTTCCACTGAAAGCACCCTTAGTAAACCAACACAACCAACAATTTGGCCACTGTGACAGGACAGGAAAATAAGCTTGCAAAAACAGGGAGCATGTGTTGAGAGTAGCAGAGGTTCAGATTTGACCCAAGGAGTGGATGAAGTTAACTTTTGTAGTTCTGTGCATTGACTTAAAGGGTGATCAGGCACGGGGAGCCTGTGGAGGGCTGGGATAGCAGAGCGACATGCATACTGGCAGGCTATTTCACATGGGAGTGTTGAAAGGAAGAGTGGACTAAGTAAATAATACTTAGCATTTAGGACATTTAGAGATTTAGAGTAGTGTAGACTAAAATTGCACAGTCATGAACAAATATCTCTTTAAGGTCAAAGATTAGCAGGTAAAAGTTAGCACAGTAGAGAAGGAAGTGATTGATTTTGCCTCTGGTAACATTTCAAGGACTCAGATATTGATGTCCATGAGTATTTTTGTCTGGTGGTACTCTGAGGAGTCCATGCCTTGGCAAAGGTTTTATAGGGCCCTTATGGGAAAATCCTTGAGGTAAGACAGAAGGTTTACTCAGGGATACCACTCTGAAGCTTAGCTTGGTGCCAGTGTTTTATCAACATCTTTCAGGTCATGAGACAGGAAGTTTCAGAAGGTGAAGATGAATTGCCTTGTTAGAAGGCTAGCTGTTTCCTCCTTTTGCCCCAGTGGAGTGGAGGGGGAAGGCCCAGGAGGTGTCCTGAGGCCTGCTTAGAGTTGACTCAACATGAGGCAGAACTATTCTAGAGCCTTTTCTCCTTTGTTAATCATTTCTGTGGAACCTTGCTGGCTTTTCCCTCTTGGTGGTTCAAATGTGACATTTATAAGGATGATTTATTATAATTTAGTTCCTGCAGCTTTATAAAATTACAGTTCTGTGAAAAGGTTCCCCTTCGTTCAGTCTGTGGGACAATCAACATTATTCCTTCTCTTTTTAGCTTTTTTTAAAAGCCCCCCCATAGCTCATCTGAGTAAAAGGAACTGAGGTACTTTCCATAAAGAGGGAGATGGGTGAGTCACTCCCCTGCAGATTCTGCTGCCAGCTTGCTCTCACCTTACCTCTTGCACAGTTCAGTGCTTAGCTTGTCATTCAGATGTGCTTTTTCTATAACGTTCCAGCTTTGATGCTTTGTGAGCATCAGCATTGAGCAACTCCCTGGATAGAGATAAAAGTTTATGTTCCATTTGCCCCCCTAAGGCAGTGTCTTACCAAGTAGAGAACACTAGTCAACAGAAGTGTCCTCTTTGCCCTTATTTTTAAGACTGGCCACTTGAACTTTCTTCACTCTTGGCTTATTCTCAGGTTTTTTGCTCCATTCTCCAGGGAAAGAGTAGTCTGTTATGAAATGTTTACAGCCTTGTTGGCAACTTGATTTTGGCCCCCCCAATACATAAAAATGATTGAGTTTACTAACTTAATTCTTTTGGTTCTATATCCCAGAGTATATAATATCTAGATGAAAACACATCATACAGCAAGTTGTGGTGGCGACAAGTACTAGCTAGAAACTAAGGAGCTTCTCTGAAAAAGCAATCTGTATTTGCAAATATCAGAGAAAAAGACTTTTCTGTGGAGGCTGTGCATCTGTGACACACGATACAAAGGATGCTCCCCTTCTCTCTGCTTATTCATTCTTTTTTTTTTTTTACAGGCTCAGATTTCTAGAATTCTGTTAAGAAAAAAGGCCCGTCAGAGGTTGATAGCATTTCATCCATCCACATAGTGGGTCAGGAGAGGGTGATGGAATGCTTACCTTTCCAGAAGCTTGATTCTAACTAGAAAGCTCAGTGTAGGCAATATGTTGTTAAATATTAATATTCACAGCAGACATATACCGCTGTTTTGTAACTAAACCCATCTTTTTATGTAAACTAAACAGTTAAATAGAATGAAAGATTAAAAATGTTTCTAATAATGCCAGGTGTGGTGGCTCATGCCTTAGCTACTTAGGAGGCTGAGATCTGAGGATCATGGTTCAAAGCCAGCCGGGGCAGGAAAGGCTGTGAGGCACTTATCTCCAATAAACCACTAGAAAACCAGAAGTGGCGCTTGTGGCTCAAGTGGTAGAGCGCTAGCTTTGAGCTGAAGAGCTGAGGGACAGCCCCCAGGCTCAGAGTTCAACTCCCACGACTGACCAAAAAAAAAAGTCTCTAATAAATATATCCTTGGACAGTGCCTCTGCTCCTAACAACCTCAGTCATTGTATTTATCATGTACCCTGCCTACTTGGTACTCCCTTCCCTTTTACTCCTCCTCTAAGTATTTCTTGAATTAGGACTTTGGTTCCTAATCTTCTTTTGTTGTGCAAGCTGCAGAAATGCCCGGGTTTTTGTTGTTCTTGTTGTTGTTTTCCTGAAGACTCCTCTATCTCCTGATTGCCCTTTATTTTTGTAGGTTGTGTGGCTTGAACTCTGGGCCTGGGTACTGTCCCTCAGCTCTTTAGCTCAAGGCTAGCACTCACCACTTAAGCCACAGCAGCACTTTCAGTTTTGTGGTGGTCTCACGGACTTACTTGCCTGGGCTGGCTTTGAACCGAAGTCCTCCGATTTCAGCCTCCTGAGTAGCTAGGATTACAGGCGTGAGCCACCAGCATCTGGCTTCTGATTGCCCTTTCAGCGATGTGAATTACAGAAAATTGCTGTGGTGCAAGGAGGGTGTCAGACAGTGATTAAACCCTCACATGTCACTCACACCTGATGGAAGAACCTACCACCGGCACAGAGCGGGCTGGCTCAATATTCTGACTTAAGGATTGTGAATTAAAGGGTAAAAATGTGTGTGAAGCTTGTGTTTTCTGTCAGATTGCTTCATTCTGAGTCCTTCAGGCCTCTGAGCAGGGCTTGGGTCTCTGAACATGAACCATAAAAACATGAGTTGTTGCTTTTTGTGATGCTAGAAAGTAAGTAATCCCTACAAGCAGATGAGAACAAAGTGGGAGAGACTGAGTAGCTCCAACCAAGTTTCATTTATTAGTTTCTCTTGGTCTGCAGAATGCTGAGAGAGTAATTACATTCAAATGGCAATTTGTTGTAGTTGTTGTTGCTTGTTTTTGTTTTTAGCTCTATGTGGTCCTGTGTTCTTAAGCTATTAAAATTGGTGGTTTCAGAAAGTATTATTCCTGTTTAGGTATGGTACTTAAGGCTAGGTAGGGTGAAATTTTTTTTTTTTTTTTGGTCGGCCGTGGGGCTTGAACTCTGGGCCTGGGCACTGTCCTTCAGCTCTTCAGCTCTAGGCGAGCGCTCTACCACTTGAGCTACAGCGCCACTTCCGGTTTTCTGGTGGTTTATTGGAGATAGGAGTCTCACGGTCTCTCCTGCCCGGGCTGGCTTTGAACCGCGATCCTCAGATCTCAGCCTCCTGAGTAGCTAGGATTATAGGCGTGAGCCACCAGCGCCCGGCTTGAAATTTTTGTCTTAGTGTATTTGTCTCTCATAAGAAAATGCTTGAGTCTGGATGATTTATAAAGAGCAAATGCATTTTTCATGGTTCTGGAGACAAGTGTAAAATCAAGCCTTTTGCTAATTTGGTGTCTATTTAGGGCTGTGTCTCTGCTTCTAAATGGTCCCTTGTTGCTTTATCCTTTGGAAAAGAGGAGCTCTATGCCTTTGTAGTAGAAGAGCAGAAGATAGAGTATATTTTCTACAGATAGGAAATATAGCTGAACATTTAAAACTTGATTTCTATATAAAGCATCTTGACCAAACTTTCTTCCCATCTTCTGCTCTTATGCTTCCTGTGTGTGGCTGAGCGTGAAAAGGGGTAGACACGTCTCTCATTCTTTACTTGGGGTGCTGGATCCTTCATGTTAATTGAACAAAGATCATGAAGAGTCAATACTGTGGGTATTGAAGACACCATTAATGGCTCCTTACCTTTTTTTTTCTTTAGGTACGGAACCCTGGTACTTTTATTTGATTAATGGATTTCTGAATTTCAATGTAGCATTTGCTTTGGCTCTTCTGGTCTTACCACTGACTTCTCTTATGGAATACCTGCTGCAGAGGTTTCATGGTGAGTAACTAAAGATGGTATTTGGGGAGGAAAAAGCCAACTAGTAAGAAATGCCAGTACATGAACAAGAACTATTCTCCATTTTCTTTCTATAGAAATGGCTGGCTCTGCTGACTTTTTCAGTCTGTATTTATAGGTTATTTGGACTTCTCTGAAAATTTGGTTAGTTTTATATTTCTTCAAGAGAGGAAGTTATTATAATTTACACAATCATCCAGGAAAGCAAACATATTTATAAAATCTTAAAATGACAAGCCTGTACAAGTCTTCAGTCTTGTAAAGAAGTATGATAATCCATGCTAGAGGCAAACATGCTTTGAGAAATTATTCCAACTAAGAATTTGAAAACAAACACATAGGAATTCCTTGAAATAGATAGTGAAATAGGGAGAAGCTTTGAATTTCCTAAGAAACACGAGTCTTCTCCGGGTGCCATTTGTTTGGTTTCCTGTGGAAGGTTTGGTGTGTCATTTGTTTTACTTGCTCTGGTTCTGTACTGCACAGCTGGTGTTTTCTCAAGTTGTCGTGGCTCTGGTGCCTACTGTTTCTTGAATGGAAGACAGATTTGAGCAGAATTCATATGGGCTTTGGAAAGATTTAACTTCAGACTTGTCAATCTGATTTGGATGCCATATGATTGATTCCTGTCCAGCCCACCCTCAGTTCTGCTTTTATTGTTCATGGTTCATAGGGGAGTTTTCTTTGTTAAATGTTAAAATCTTAATTTTTTTTTTTAGGACTCTTGTTTTAACATAAGCATATTTCCATTATTCTAACAAAATTAACCCTTTAAAATAATCTAATACCTGTTGAAAATCAGATTTTCTATATTGTGTGGAAAAGCAGGACATAATCACAGGTCATATAGTATTTGATGTTACTTTTTTTTTGCCCCTCTTGGGACTTGAACTCAGCCTGGATGCTGTCCCTGAGCCTCTTTGTGCTTAAGGCTAGTGCTCTACCACTTGAGCCACAGCACCACTTGCAGCTTTTTTTTTTTTTTTAAATAGTTTATTGGAGGTAAAAGAGTCTCATGGGGATTTCTGCCCAGGCTGGCTTTGAACTGTGATTCTCTCTCAGCCTTCTGAGTACCTAGGATTACAGGTATGAGCCACTGTCACCCTTCTGATATTACATTTTTTAAAGCTTTGTATGATGCTTCTTGTTTTATTTTTCTTCTAAAGATTTTTAAGCCAGATATTCATCTTACCTAGTGTCCTGCATTTTAGATTCAGCTATTTTCTCTCTTGAGGCAACTAATTCCTCTATCCCTTGTATTCTCCTCTCCTCTCCTTTCCCTTCTTTCCTGTTTTTTGTTTGTTTTTTGTTTTTTCTTAAGTGCTGTATTTTGGACTTTGGGCCTTGCCCTTGCTAAGCAGTTACTCTACCTCTGGGTCTTTTTGCTTTATTTATTTTGCAAATTGGGTCTCACATTTATGACCAGGCTGGCCTAGCCCTCAGTCCTCCTACGTACCCTCTCCACATAGGATGACAGGTGTGAACCATCTTATCCAGCTTTATTTGGTTGAGGTGAGGGTCTCACAAACCTTGCTCAGTCTGGCCTCAAATTGCAATCCTTCTGATCTCTTTTTTTTGGTTAGCTAGGCTTACAAATGTGAGCCTCTGTACCTGGCTAACCTCTTGCTTGCTTGCTTGCTTGCTTGCTTGCTTCCTTCCTTCCTTCCTCCCTCCCCTCTCTCTCCTTCTTTCTTTCTTTCTCTCTCCTTTCTCTCTCTCACTCTTTCTCTCTTTCTTTCTTTCTTTTTTTTTTCTTTCTCTCTCCTTTCTCTCACTCTTTCTCTTTCTTTCTTTTTTCTTTCTTTCTCTCTCTTTCTCTCTTTCTTTCTCTCTCTCTCTCTCTCCCCCCCGTCACCCACACCTCTGTCTTTTTCCTGCAAAAAACTTTGTTTTCATTTGGTTCAAGGCTTGGGAAAGACTTCAGGATGGTTAGTTAGGAAGCCCAGTGGCTAGAAGGAGAGACTCTTATGGAAACACTAATGTCAAGTGAGGCAGTGATGGCCCTCAAAGGCTGCTTGACTCTGGGGTCTTCTAGTCCTTGAGGGTGAGATGTTTGAAGAGATACTCGCCTAGTCTAGCCCGAGGGGCTGCCAGCCTGTAGAGGTTGGTTAGATGACCGCTCAATCTTCTTGATGAGCTTCACCTATTCATCTAGGAAGTAGTTCTCCAGGAAGTCACAGAGATGGGGGTCTGTGCCAGCAGAACCCAAGACATGAAGATCCAAAATGGCTTGTTTCAGGTTCTCCAGGGCCAGGGCAGCTTCCATGACTTCCACAGCTTTACCCTACTCAATCTTGAGAAGGCTTCTGTACATCCTGGAGCAGCACATGGCCACCATGCTGGTCTGTATCTTCAGGGGACAGTGGGTGCCCTCTCACTTCTCTGCCAACTTGCAGAAGAAGTGTCCCACGCCGTCCAGAGCCAACATCGTGGCGATTGAAATAGTAGCCCAGAGAGAATTACGTGTAGGAGGCCTGCAAACGCAAATTGACCAGCAGCGGATGGCAGCCTCCACCGCAGTGGAATAATTCTGATGAATCTGCAAGGTCATGGCTAGCCATCGATCCAGAGCTAATCACAAAAAAAGATGGAGTTGGTTGGAGACTGGCAAGAAGATAAGGGTCAGTGGAGAGGAGATTCAGAGGCAGTTGGTGATGGAAAACAAACACTGTTGAAGCAAGACACAGACTAGTGGGACTGGCACCTGCTTCTCCTCCTTTGTATTTCTTAAGGATTACTTTTTCTTGATAGTGCTGAACCACAATTTAACCCTATATACTGTAGACATGGGGGACACCAGGGGGCACTGTGCTTCCACCCTTAGACAGCATTTTTCATACACTTTTGTTTTCACTAATGTAAGCACAGTAGGAGATGCCTTCACTGTGGGTTGTAGTTATCACTCAGTGCTCCTGTACCTAACCCCAGGAACTTTCCAGCAGTGCTTGGATTTCATTGTTATTCTTTTCATTCTTTTCTATGCTTTAAGCACATTTTGTTTTGAGATTCAGAATGGATAGGTATTAAGAAGAGAAAACTTAATTAGAAAACTTTATAAGCCTACTTCTTTGAAATGTTCTTATATTTAACTTGAAACAAATGGCTACCAGGCTTGGGGAAACATACCTGTAACCTCAGCACCCAGGAGAATGAGATAGGATCATGAGCTCCAGGCTAGATGTGACATAATGAAACCCTATCTCAAAAAGCAAAACTTAGCGGGGTGCTGGTGGCTCATGCCTGCAATCCTAGCTACTTAGGAGGCTGAGATCTGAGAATCACAGTTCAAAACCAGTCCAGGCAAGAAAATCCATGAGACTTATCTCCAATAAACCACTAGAAAACCAGAAGTGGTACTGTGGCTCAAGTATAGTAGAGTGCTCGCCTTGGGCTGAAGAGCGCAAGGACAGCGCCCAAGCCCAGAGTTCAAGCCCCAGGACCGACAAAAAAAAGAAAAAAAAGAAAAAGAAAAAAAGCAAAACTTAACAAAATATCCCACCCCAACCAAAATATTCCTAAACTAAAACAAATTGATTTGTAGCTTGATGAAAAGTGTTTGAGAATCCAACTTTTTCTTCTTTTGATCTATGTCTAATTGGTATACAGATAAAAGGATTAATGCTTAAACAGAACACAGGAATTAAGACCCAGGGAATGGGTTTATGTTATGTTTTTGGTTACCCTCAGGAATCTTTAATCTCATGGAAGGACTGTAGGAAGAGAAGGCCTTTCCTTTTTTTTAATCAAACGTAGTATATTTACTAAGTTCTATTTTATGGCTTTCATATATGTCTGGCCAAATCCAGTATTGTGCCTCCCTTTAACTTTTGGATCTCTTGGATTGTCTAGAGAGTACACTATTTCTTGTCTTGGTTACATTGGAGAAAGTGTGAACACAACTTGAAACATGATATGGGATACGCTATAGTGGTCTCCCAAGTTTAAGATCAAGAGAACATTGAGGTCAGACACCTTGTATTTTGTAGAATGGGAACTTCTTTGTACAACTACTTAAAGATAATAATAAATGTTAAAAAGAAAAAAAAAAGAGAACATTGAGAGCTAGGAATGTGGCTTAGTGGTAGAGTGCTTGCCTAATATGCATGAAGCCCTGGGTTTGATTCCCCAGTACCACATAAACAGAAAAGGCCTGAAGTGACACTGTGGCTCAAGTGGTAGAGTGCTAGCCTTGAGCATAAGAAGCTCAGGAACAATGCCCAGGTGCTTAGTTCAAGCCAGCCCCAGGTGGAGGGGGAGGGGCGTGGAGAGAGAGAGAGAGAACATTGAAATTAAGTATGCTGTTTTATTCTAATGTGATGAAAGGTGGATATTTTTCTGTGTCTTGCAGTGCAGAATTTAGGCCATCCATATTGGCTTACCTTGGCTCCAATGTATATTTGGTTTATAATTTTCTTCATCCAGCCTCACAAAGAGGAGCGATTTCTTTTCCCTGTCTATCCACTTATATGTCTCTGTGGTGCTGTGGCTCTTTCTGCACTTCAGGTGAGTTTCAGGGAAACATATGTGTTGATTCTCTTATATTTACTGCATAACTTGCTCACAAAGCTTAAAGGCAAATTACAGTGTGTGTCCACCCATGATAGTTTGCCTATAACATTAAGCCTGATTCAGATCATATTGTTAAAGTTTTATGTGTTACAAAGCTGTTTATCATACTTTATTTGCTTATATTTGTGTAGTAGTTTGTCTCTTATCAATAGTAATCTGGTTGCTAGTAAAGATGTATTTTTTTGGTCTATTTACTAATTTATTAGCTCTATAGATTTTACTGAATAGCTAATGAGAATGAAGTACTCTTTTAAGTATCAAGAGCCATACAGCCAGGCCATTGTTGGCTCGTGCCTGTAATGGTATTTACTTAAGAGGCTGAGATTTGAGGATCACGGTTCAAAGCCAGCCTTGGCAGCAAAGTTTGTGAGACTCTTGTCATCAATAAACTACCAGAAAAGCTGGAAGTGGTGCTGTGGCTCAAGTGATAGAGTGCTAGCTTTCAGCAAAAAAGGAGCTTAGGAACAGGGCCCAGGCTCAAGCCCCAGGACTGGCACTTAAAAAAAAGAAGAATACAAACATGAGCAAAACCTAAAGTTTTGTCCTTAAGGAGTTCAAAGAAAGACCAGCAGGCAAATATTTAGACTCAAGGCATGGAAATCACTTTACCTTATACAAATGCCTTCATAGTATCATGCATTTTAATACTGGATCTTAGGCAGGACATACATTAATTTTAAACATAAGACATTGACTGGGCTGGGAAGGTGGTTCAGTGGTAGAGCGCTTGCCTTGCATGCATGAGGCCCTGGGTTCGATTCCTCAGCACCACATAAGCAAAAGAAAAAAGCCAGAAGTGACTCTGTGGCTCAAGTGGTAGAATGCTAGCCTTGAGCTGAAGAGCTGAGGGACAGCGCCCAGGCCCAGAGTTCAGGCCCCACTACCGAACCCCCCCAAAAAAAAAAGACATTGACTTTTTGAAAGTTATTTACTCAGATATAAAAATAAAACACAGTGGGGGCTGGGAAGGTGGCTCAGTGGTAGAGCGCTTGCCTTGCATGCATGAGGCCCTGGGTTCGATTCCTCAGCACCACATAAGCAAAAACAAAAACAAAAAAAAATAAAAAAAAAATAAAACACAGTAATAGGAGGTAATATTTGTTATGTACCATATGTTAATAATTCTCACTGTTATAATGGGACTGTAATTATGCTCATTTATTTTTTGAAATTTTTATTATAAAAGTGATGTACAGAGAGGTTACAGTTATATGTCAGGTAATGAATGCATTTCTTTTTGAATAGTGTCATCTCTTCCCTCATTTTCCCAGAGTTTTTCTTCCTGACCCCTATCCCCAGTTATACTGAGAAAAATGAGACAGAAAGGTTAAGTAACTTGCCTGAGGTGATAGACCCAAGACGTGATGATAAAGGTGCATTTTCAGTTCACCATATGGACCACCTGATGGTGGCCCTGAGTGGAGCTAACAGCATGTCAGCTCTTCAGCTACCAGATCAGAGTAAAACATGTTAAGACTTTGGCATTCCATTAGACAGCAGTGGGGGAGTTTTTGTAATCCTGGGTTAAAACCTGTCCAAGTTGACTCCCTGGGAGTTAATCTTACCCATGTTTTTATATTTCTGTGTATGGCCAAGACATCTTGGGACTTTTTCATGTCCTCTGCTACCTCTTGATTGACAGGGAACAATTAATAGGATGGATTTTGTTCTTATTTATTGAGAAAGAATTCACAAACCTTATAGTTCTGTACATCTGTTTAAGTCAATTTTTTTAGCATCTTCACATGTATGTATGCAACTGTCAGCACAGTTAATTTTAGAGCACTTTAATATTTAACTTAATATTATGTCATTCATAATATGCAGATATGTGTTGCCATGTCTGTGCCCATTATTTTAGTAGCAGTATATGTTTGTTCTACTTAGATTCCCAAGATGGACTAAGGATATAGCTCAGAGATAGAGTTCAGACTTACCATGCGTGCTCTGGGCTTAATCCCTAGCACTGCTGGTATTGTGGTGAGGTAGGGAAGATGGTGGGCTCCAAGCATATACATATATGTTTTATAATAATCATCTGGTTTGTTACGTAGTTTATTGATAATTACCAGTATTTTTCTAGACATCTATGAAAGGAATCCTTTTTTTCTTATTGTTTGGTCATAAGCCATTTTGTTGACACTAAAAGCTTTGTGGAAACTTGTCGGTAGGGAAAATAAAGGTTAATACCTGCATCAAAAAGTCAAAATACCTTATATATCAAATGAAACTACTAAAAAGCATTTTTGCTGAATTACTAAAAGAGTAAGTTATTGGAACTTTAAAATAATCCTGTGAAGCAAGTAAAAGTACATTCTTGGCAAGTTGGCTGGCTGGGCTGACCTCCAGATAGTGCAGGGGACTTGGCTTTGATCTTAGGATTTGGGCAAGTGCCTGCATCTGCTCAGACCCCTCTGTTTCTACTGCATTTGGGTTTCTGTGAGAGCTCATGATTATATGTATTCTGCAGAGTGTATCGTCTCTTTTGTCAATACAGTTGTCTCTCCTTCTAGAAATGCTACCACTTTGTGTTTCAGCAATATCGCCTGGAGCACTACACTGTGACATCAAGTTGGTTGGCGTTAGGCACGGTCTTCCTGTTTGGTCTCCTGTCTTTCTCTCGCTCCGTGGCACTGTTCAGAGGTAGATGCAATGACCACTGATGAGGCATTTCACTTCAGGGTTTGCTTGTTGCAGAATGGTTTAACTTAACACTGGGAAGGGGCCTTTCCTAAAGAGAGGGCATGTGGACTGCACAGTGGCTGGGGTATGACTTCTGAACCTCAGACTTAAAAAGGAGATTGACAGTTCTTTTTTAGTGTAGTTACATATTTTTTCCTCTATTGTTTTCCCCCTTTACTTTTAAGGGCTGCTGCTGAAGCTTAAACTTAGGTTGCTAATTGGGGCAAGTTATGTTTGGCAAAACAGGGTCTCTGCTGCAGCCATCTTTCCAACTTCCAGCAGGAGGAGCAGCTTCCTTTACATTCTTTCAGTTTTATGTGGATCACAGCGGGATGTGAATGTGCGTTGTAATTAAATATCCAAATGTCATCTTCCTCATCTTTGGCTTTCATCCACTGTTCTTTCTTCCAGGTTATCATGGGCCCCTTGATCTGTATCCAGAATTTTACCGAATTGCCACAGACCCAACCATCCACACTGTCCCAGAAGGCAGACCTGTGAATGTTTGTGTGGGAAAAGAATGGTATCGATTTCCCAGCAGCTTCCTTCTTCCAGAGAAGTATGTTACCCTTCAATTCCCAGAACTTAAGATGACAAAATAAAAATGGCAATTCTGTGGCATGGTCTTCTTAGTTTTTGTTTTGTGTAGGAGTTTTTGCAGAAAGTCACTGAGCCATCTTCCATCTCTGATTGCTGAGGATCTGCATTACATTCATTAGACAGGTGCTGTTTCTGGGTATGCACACTGCACTGCCCTGTAACTTCAGGTGTCTGGGCACTTCTGAAAATACTTGGGGCCCTAGGCTTCTGCTAGTAACCCTTCTAAAGATTTATATTTACAGTTTTATAATTATTTGGTATTAATCTACTTTTAAAAGTCATCTCTTAGAAAAATCTCTCTTCTTAGAAAATAATTCTTTTTTGTACAACAGTGAAAAGGCGCTGGGAAGATGAGGGTTTCTAAAGCAGCTTCATTTGCACTGTCGTTTTAGATGTGACAGCATATGCCTTGAAGTTTCTCATATCTTTCTTAATTTGGTCTTGTTCTGGTGAAGGGAAATAACATTGCTCCATTTGAATACAGGCTTTAGCAGCTTACCTTTGCCTGGTGGCGATATCTTGTGCTTAGTAAAGATCCTGTAGCAGGCTGGGGATGTAGCTCAGTGCCTAGGATGTACAAGAGCCTGTGTTTGGTCTCCAGCACTTCAAAAAAAAAGAAAAAAGGAAGAAGAAAAAAAAAAATCCTGTATCAGTCATTAATGATTAAAACTTGTTTTTTAAGAATTTTGCCCTTTGTCTTGTACATTCAAAATAGTTTCTTAGGTGAAGGTCCTTTGGTGATTACTCAGGAACTTCTCTTGTCAGTACTTCTCTCCTAGTGTATTAAGCAGCTCACCTTACATTCATTCTTTTAAGATGCCTAATAAATTGCTTTAATTTCACTAGTTCCAATTGAGCATATGCTAATTGGCAATAAATGCGGACACTTTTCTTCTCTTTTGGTAAAATGACCAAATCTGGTTGCAAAGTTTGGTTCTGAGACTGTGGTGAAATAGATTGAGACTTAGTTGTCAGTTTCTCAATGATCTTGGACTTGAGTTGTGACCTTTGCCTCTGTTCCCTGGTTAAGGTTTTAGCAGAAATATATATATTTCTTACAAGTGAAATGTTTTTCGCATGATTTGTTTCAAGTACATTTAGCAACATAATCCCCTGTGTTTTTCTTAATCCCCTGTTTTTGACAGCTGGCAGCTACAGTTCATTCCATCAGAGTTCAGAGGTCAACTACCAAAACCTTTTGCAGAGGGACCACTGGCCACACAGATTATTCCTACTGACATGAATGACCAGAACCTAGAAGAGCCATCCAGATATGTAAGGAGTATATTGTTTTGTTGCCTCTTTGAAAAGAATGCTGCTCCTAAAATCTTTTGGTGTATTATTAAAGGAAAATGAAAATTGCTCAGAAAAATGATTTCTTATTCTTCCTCTTCTTCTTCCTCCTCCTCCTCCTCCTCTTCCTCCTCCTCCTCCTCTTCCTCCTCCTCTCCCTCCTCCTCCTCTTCTTCTTTCTTCTTCCTCCTCCTCCTCTTCCTCCCCCTCTTTCTCCTCCCCCCCTCCTCCCCCTCCTCCTCCTCCTGCCTGTTTTACACTGAGAGAGGGTCTTACTTTCTGCCCAGGTACATGCTTGGTCTTGATTTACAGATATTAGTCTTCCCATTATAGTTGGGTTGACAGGCTCACGTTACCATACCCAGCTTCTTTCCACTGAGATGGAATCCCTTGGACTTTGGCTGCTTGAGTTGGCAAGAATCATGATCCTCCCATTCTTAGCCTCCCACATAACATGGGATGAGAGGTGTGTACCACCATACCCAGCTATGGGTTGAGTAGAGATCTTGTGAACTTTTCTGCTTAGGCTGGCCTTGATCAGCAATCCTCCTGTTTGTAGCCTTCCAAGTACCTAGGATTACTGGTGTGAATCACTATACCAAGCATAAAGTAATTTCTTTAGAGTGAGGCAGAGAACAACTTTTGTTGCGACAGAGTGAACAGAATCATTTTTTTAAATTTTCATATTTCTTTTATGTTTTTCTGTGTAAACTACAGTTTCAGTATAACCTCTTAACTTTTGGATAGGCTGGAAAAATTTTTATGGTAAAATCTGAACTATTCTGAAACATACTGAATCACATAATACTGCTTGGCCTACTAAAATGCTTGGTAGGGAATTTTCAAGTCATCAGTTACTCATCAGTTCCCTTTGACCTAGCTCTTCCTATGTTCTGGTTTTAGCACATGAAATAGTCAGGCATACTATTTCCATAGTGAGAGCCATGGAACAATCTTTGTCAGTGCCAAGATCTCCTGCCTACATGTCTTTACACATGCTGAGATCAGGAAAATTCTATTTTGACTCTTTTGAAAGATGATAACTTTCAGCATTTGATGCCTATAAATCTTTGGTGGTAAAACAAGTGAGAGTAATGAAGATAATGCTCAGGTCTTTAAGCACATAGCAGTCCTTCCTTTAAGTGATTGAAATATGTTTGTAAATTTGGTATCAGCTCTGGTTCTAAGTCCAGGTTAGTTCAAGAAGACAAAATCATTTTGCTCTCTATCATTTCTGAATATCCTGACTAGCAGCGAAAAACCCCCAAACAGTGCTTTGTTTTGTTTTTATTTTTATGTAGCCTACATAGAAATTGGGATCCTACTATTGCTCAAGTGCCAATGTGTACCACTATGTCCAGCTGGTAGGATTATTTTTATCTGCCCTTTGGCTCTCAATGACAGGTTTTAGCCAGCCCTTTTTCTAGCTAAGTGATTCAGTCTGTTCCTTGTTTGTGCCCTGCATGGGAACTAGGGAAGATGCATGACCTCTTTTATTTCATTGACCTGCTTTACTCTGAATTTACCAGGAATAGGAATGCTTGTGAAGGCCCTCTGGTTTCTCATTTACTGCTTGAAGTGTATTACAGAGATAATAGTATTTTTCTGTCTATTTTTTCATGGTAGGGATTTAGTAGCTATTAAACCTCCCATTATTGAGCAGTTGTCATGTAGACTGGCTTATGGTAAGATTTTTGGTAGAATCTATAAACTCAATGTTGCCTGCATGCTTGCTTGCTTGCCTCCTTCCTTCCTTCCTTCCTTCCTTCCGTTTGAGCTCAATGACTTATGCTTCCCACTCATGTACCCTATCTGCTGAGCCATGGCTCCAGTCTTTTTTGCACTTGGTTATTTTTCTTTCTTTCTTTCTTTCTGTCTGTTGTGGGGCTTGAACTGTTGGCCTGGGTGCTGTCCCTACACTTTTCAGTTCAAGGTGAGCATTCTATTGCTTGAGCCACAGTACCACTTCTGGTTTTCTATTTGTTTATTGGAGATAAGAGTCTCACGGACTTTCCTGCCCGGGCTGGCTTTGAACTGTGATCCTCAGATCTCAGCCTCCTGAGTAGCTAGGATTACAGGCATGAGCCACCAGTGCCTGGCTTTGCACTTGGTTATTTTTGAGCCATTGTGTCCAATTAGTGCCATCATCCTTTACTTATTTTCCTTCTCTGACTCCAAGACCAGTATCTGATTTGGGAACTAATCAATGATTAGAGATGGGGAAAAAACAGCATTCAGAAGGGAGTTTAGCCGGGCGCTGGTGGCTCACGCCTGTAATCCTAGCTACTCAGGAGGCTGAGATCTGAGGATCGCAGTTCAAAGCCAGCCAGGGCAGATAAGACCGTGAGACTCCTATCTCCAATAAACCACCAGAAAACCGGAAGTGGCGCTGTAGCTCAAATGGTAGAGTGCTCGCCTTGAGCTGAAGAGCTGAGGGACAGCGCCCAGGCCCAGAGTTCAAGCCCCACGACCGACAAAAAAAAAAAAGAAGGGAGTTTACAGGGAGAGACGTTTCTCTGACTTTCACTTGATGTTTTTTTCCTCCCCCTCTCATTTCATCCTGTCTCCTTCCTTGATTGGAAGTTTGATAAATTGCCTTACTGGTCTCAGGGTTAATTGTTACTAGTCTTTGAGCATGAATGTACAGTTTCAAATTGCTATACTTAGAGTATATATAGACCAGAATTCACTAAGAATTTAAGAGAGGGGTCCAGGAGACTTTTTTAGGGGGGCGGGCAGTCACAGGGCTTGAACTCTGGGCCTGGATGCTGTCCCTGAGCCACAGTACCACTTCTTGTTTCCTGGTGGTTAATTAGAGATGAGTCTCACGGACTTTCCTGCCATTGCTGGCTTTGAACTGCGATCCTCAGATCTCAGACTCCTGAGTAGCTAGCCTTACAAGCGTGAGCCATTGGCACCTGGCATCAGAAGACTTTTTTTGTTGTTGTTGTGGGTCGTGGGGCCTGAACTCTGGGCCTGGGTGCTGTCCCTCAAGCTCTTCAGCTCAAGGCTAGCACTCTACCACTTAAGCCACAGCCTCACGTAGGCTTTTTCTGCTTATGTGGTGCTGAGGAATCAAACCCAGGGCCTCATGTATGCAAGGCAAACACTCTACCACTGAGCCACCTTCCCAGCCCCAGAAGACTTTTAAAAACTAATTTCTAGCTTGGTGCTGGTTGCTCAAGCCTGTATCTTAGCTACTTAGGAGGCTGAGATCTGAGGATTGAAATCCAAAGCCTGCTGGGGCAGGAAAGTCCAAGAGACACTTATCTCCAATTAACCACCAGAAAACCAAAGTAGAGCTGTGGCTTAAAAAAATGGTATACCACTAGCTTTGAGCAGAAAAGTTCAGGGACAGTGCACAGTACCCAGCCAAAAAAACATTAATTTTCTAAAATCCATCATATTGGCATTTAGAAATTAATTGATTTTTCTAAATGATCTCTAGTGCTTGAATAGCCAAAAAATTTTTCTTGTGAGTTCACATTATAACAGTGCCATCATTTTTTCGCCTGGATTTAAACATTCATTTAACAACTATGTATTTAGCAAGGCTGTATGTGGGACAGGAAAACTGTAAGGCAGTCTGTGCCTCCTGGTGGCAACTACTTTTTAGAATCTAGTTGGATGGAGCCTATCTAAAAGAAGAAATGAAAAGCCAGAAAAATACTCTTTCGCTTTCAAAAGTTCCTTCCCAGGCCGCAGTGTTCTGATTTCAGTAAAGGATTTTATCATAGGAAGACACTGATTGATGTGTGGCACATGGTGCAGTGGCAAAAGCACTGATTAGGAGGTGGAGTGGGACTTGTCTGGATTTGAGCAAAGTGTATTTTCTTTTCAAATGCCTGGGAATTTCAAAGACTAGACTCTCTTCTTTTTTTTCATCTTTTTTTCTCCATTTGAAATCCAGTTGGAGTGTTTATATTTCAGATTATTCCATTACCTGTCTGCTCATAAATATTTTAGGGTGGCAGAGTTTACCTGGGCCATGAGATCTCATGATGGAAGACAAGTTACCTTCTGCCACTTTGCAAAGGAGGAGAATCTGCAGACTAGAAGCTTCCTCCGCACTGCTGGTGTTGAAGGGTTGGGAAGTTTTTACTGCAGACTCCAACCCTGAGAGTTTTTGTTTCTGTTCCCAGGGAGGAGAAAAAACTATGACAATACTTGTTTTATTACATTCAGTTCTCCTTCGCTCATTCCTCCCCCAAGAAAATGCACACATATTATTATTCATAACTTGATCTGTGTTCCAGACTCTTGGTTTATTGAGAACTAGTGGTTTTGTTTATACTTGTGGTGCCATTAAATTGTCATTCTTAACATATGTTTATTGCTAGGTAAAGTTGATGGTTAGTAAGTTTGTTTGAATTTCCCAATCATTACCCTTTTTTTCTGTGGTTTAGAGGTGCTCATGTGTGTGTGCCTCTACAGAGCTTCTAGTGGGCTGGGAGAAACTAAAGGAAGTTACATTTCTTTCAGAATGAGTGTTGAATGCTTGTATTTTACAAAATTTCAAATTAAGGCATATTTTTAACTTCAACAGCTGGCTGATATATAGCCTGTGACTAATGACATGAAACACATTTTTGTTTCATGATCATGTGTTAATGTCACCCTGCAATTTTGTTATTTTTGATGTAAGAAAGAATGGTTAAATCTGAAAAAATTTTAAAAATGACCTCTTTGGTTACACTTAAGGCAGATTTAAATCTAGTTTCTTGATTTTTGAATTGTAGATGATGTGGTTATGGTGAGTGTCCTCAAATTCTGGCAGCATGTGATACTCATAAAATTGAGAGAGGGAACTATTTTTTTCTGCTTCAAATTCAATTAGTATTGCTTTAGCGTTTAGGAGATTACTGATGTCACTGGAGGTTTAAACTGAGAAATCTCAAACTAAAGTATATATAATATACATATGCACATATTACATATAGTAGAACAGCATATATATGTGATCTATATATAACATATTACAT